TGATGTTAAGTAGTCAGTGTGGATTCCTTCTGGCTACATCGGGTCTTATCTGTGCTAGACTGAACGCCAAGAAAAAAGTGCATGCTGATTTTGCTTTCAGTTCGATATCTCTTTTGTTTTAATGAATTCATTTTTATATAATGTTTTTGCAACTAAAAGAAAAAGATACTTCGCCTCTCACTTGAGAGAAATAATAGTAATGAATGTCACCGATATGGCATCTTACTTTTTATATTCTAATCACAGAGTCACTCTCGCAAGTGGTAGCAAAAGTTCGTAGCGTTTTTTTAAGTGAATTTGAAAGGCAATATTTAGATATTTGTACATGGAATTATTCGACCGCATATGAGCTATTTTGTTCTACTACCTATGAGGCAACTTCATTATTCTATCCTCCCAGAATTTGGCATCTTTCCGGGTGATGAGCTAGTCTAAGGGGTTTTAGAAGCTTCCAGAGAATTCAAGATATTTCCCTTATTTTTTTAAATCGCGGTCACCCCAAGCAAGGCAGTAAAGCCACCAAAACACAACTGAGTGTGGAACTATTACAAAACAGAAACATTACTAAGGATGGAGAATAAAAGAAGAGTACTCAGGAGGAAAGTAGATAGCAATTGACATTGCATTTAAACCTTTGAAGATTAAAGTTGGCTGGAAAGTATGGAACCGGAAGGGAGTTCCACAAGCAAGAAGTGCAAGAAAAGAAACTGTTAGCATAAAACTTACATCTAGCCAATTCAACTGTAAATTGTTGAGACCTCATCGCCAATCAAGTACTGCGCCTAAATTCATAAAGTCTAGGTACCACGCGAAGAGCGATATTTATTTCTACTTCAAATATAGAAAATGTGTCACAAGGCCAAAAATGGGGAAAAGGACGGTCTTCTGTCTTAAATTTAAACTTAGCTAACCACAAACACTGACCCAAACATACAAACAATATTCCTAACACTAAAACAACACATTCTTATTTACCTTTCTTACTACATCCACCATAATACCTCATTGTCTCTATGAAAATCCTAACTAGTCCTCATATGTACAATTCATTGTCTGTGGGTGGAGGGGAGTAAAACAACAATTTTAAAACTAGCCCCAATGAGTATTTACAATACGAATACAAATCTATTTACAATAAACTAAACAAAATAATGTACAATAGCGAAGAGCTCATCCGAACAATTACCATGCAAGTATTTATAGAAAAGGGAGGCAACTTTACGATGGTAGGTAAGTGACTTTTCCATTAAGAGAATTTTGTTAGGTTCGAAGCGGTAATCCGCAGATGCAAGGTAAGGGGGGTATGGAGACTGTAGTAGGACATCTCAGCAAAGCCGTACCAATTTCTGAAGAGTCTGCAAAGAGATGTGATGTATGTTCTTTGCCTGATGGAAGACGACAGGCTTCAGATTAGATTATCCTGGATGGTTTTCATGAACTACAATTGCGCTGCACATCCTCATCGAGTGAGAAGAGTAGTTGAAGGGAACAAAAGAAACAAGTTGCCAACTAGGAATTACTAGTACTTTGGGGCTAACAAAACACCCTCATGTGACTAACGCAGGTTAATTGATAACATTGGGAAGAGTACCTGTCTGAATTCAATGTCTGATTTTGCGAAAGTAAATCGTAATTACCCTTTCAATTCAACCAAATATGCAACATCCCCTTCTTCAGAGGCAAAAAGACTTATAGAGTGGTTAGCGACTGCTCATTTGCCTTTTAACCTACGACCATTTCCGCTCAACATTGTTATAGACTATCAACTTTTCATCATTTTTTTAAATGGGTCGCTTTGTTGCGGTCGAGCAGAAAATCGCAGATGAAATTTTGTTTCCGTCAAATCATGAAGCATACAAACATCGCAGCGGTTCACATAGCTAAGTGCTTTCAAATGCCTTTCAACATTATATGCGGAGTATCTCTGCGATGTCCCGTGCCGTGTGCACTGGATTATTCTTAATCAGCATTTCGACTTGGCGGATCGTTTATTATTGGTATAACGTATACCACCTGAAGAAAGCCGGAGCGTAAACGGACGAAACGTCGTGAATATGACAATGAAAATGAGTACAACAGTCCGAAGAATGTAAATAGTGTAAATGCTTTCTTTCATAAAGATAATTTAATCTTGTTTTATCGTTAAGTTATTCGTGGAAGAATCGATATAAAAATGCATCGATCTATCTTGTGTTTTCCCCCTAATGAAGGGAACGCATGTCCGGATCTTCTCGAAAAAACCCAGGCCGGTAGATGCAATGTTATTAGTATCCGTTATCTGGCGTTAAAGAAATAACCTCCAAAATGGGAAAATATTTTTTAGGTTATTTAAAAAAAGGTTACATTGTGAAGAAATAATTGATATATATATATATTATAAATTAATTGATTTAAAATATGGTTTTTTTCGCTACACAGTTCCAACCATGTTTCAAAAATAGAAGCTAAAAACCCCGAATATATATATATATATATATATATATATATATATATATATATATATATATATATAAAAAAGAGAGAGGGGTGTAGAAATACATCGGATTAAAATTGAACCTGGCCTGATGATCCTTCAATTTCGAGGCTGAAACCCGTGTAGCACTGGTTTCATTTTTTTTTTATTTTGTACTTTTGTTACATATATATATATATATATATATATATAATGAATTATTCGAATTAATGCGCCTTGCTGCATGTCACATTTTTTTGTAAGAAAATGATGATCGAAAGGAAATGATTATGATCTTGACTGAAGTCGATGCGATAGAGAATACACACTTCACACTCCTATAATCATTAAACCAGATTCACTTAGAGAGTTTATGACTAAATTTAACAGAAAATCAAGAGGCAAGAGGCCCAGTTTTATATATATATATATACGCCAAATAAACTGGCGTGCAGAGGAAATAACATGCTACAGTCCAAAAAAGCCACCTGTATCTATGTCTACCATTTCGACACTCGTGAAAATCACGTGAAAGAGACTTTTCTGGCTCAAATCAGATATGGCAGATGTTAATCGCCATGAGAGCGTGACTCGTTCCGATTTGACGGCTGAAAAAGGGTAAAGATTATGATGAATTCATTGCGAAGTCTGCTGCTTTGAAAGTTCTCACTAAAGAGTTAAAGACATTGATATAGGTGATAAACGCAATCGTCAGGCCATACGCTTTATCACCTGACGATTGCGTTTAAGTATGAAACAAACGGGCGGTGTGAGTTGAACTCAAAGTTCACATTATATATATATATATATATAGTGTGTGTGTATATTCTCTCTGTGTTATTATATATATATAAAACACAGAGAGAATATATACACACACACACATATATATATATATATATATAGATATGAAATATATATATTTAAATTATATATCGGAAATCATCATTTGATCTGACGTGATCGGCCACAGAGAAGCTACGGAATTTCTCGAACATTCAGACAGGTAAATGTAATTAAAACTGTTTAATTAAAAAGAAATCCTTTACTTAAATTGTATCTATAAAAATATCATGAAAAAAAATGTCGGATATAATCCATTTAATCATTATATATGAAATAGAATTATAGATAAATATAAGCAAAACCCAACAGTTTCTCCCTAAGTTTTCACACTGGAAAAAAGAGTTCTCTATGCATCATGATTGCGTGAAAGCGCGTGAAACTAGAAGTCACGTTAGGTCACTGCCTACCTGTTATTTTTCTTTATATATATATATATATATATATATATAAATAAATCACAATACACACACACAAACATATATATATATATATTAGGTCGGTGCAAAAAATAATGTCGTTTTTGACGTAAAGTTGAACGTCAAAAACGACATTATTTTTTGCACTGACCTATATATATATATATATATATATATATATATAAATAAATATATATATATATAATACACACACATATAATAATAATAATACTACACACACACATATAGATAATAATACACACACACACGTATATTATAGTCTATTAAACTCCGTGTTATTTAAAGCCGAAAAATATTTCAAACTGTTAAATTTCAGTGACATTTTTTTATTATTTTTCGTCAGTAACATAATTCTTACTTATTTTTAGCTTTGCTTCAGTTTGATCATAATTTCTTTTTTATATAATTTTACACAAATGTTTTTTTTTCTCATCTATATGATTCAGTATGAAATGATCAGAGGGATAGCGAGTATAGTTTTTTTTCTTCGATATATGGTATGCTAAGCCTGACCTCTGCTTATGAAATTATTACGTTTTTCAAGCCTGACTTTATGGGGACGGTTGTTTTCGCTTTCATATGTCGTCATATTTTCCATTTCTAATCTTCACATCTGAGACCCGCCAAGCGACGCCCATTGTAGCGAACCTCCCTAATTCCTTTCGTATTCCATTGGAGAGATCTAAGTCCCACTTAAGCAACTTCTTTCCACGAACCGCTGATTTGTGGAACTGACACCTCAGAGTATACTTTCCCGATCACTACAATCTTAACCTATTCACGTCTAGGGTTAACCGTTATCTTCTCCCCATGTCAGCATAAACTGTGTCTTTTATTCTGCAATCCACAATTTGAGTCTTGTACAGGGCGAACAGCATTGTAGAAAAAATACATATGAATAGAATGCTCAATATATAGTTTTTTCTCAGACTCCGCTCTCTCATGAATCAAAGTTGGGCAAAGAGGCTATGAGCTGTCTTTAAATTCTTCCTAATTTCTTGTAACATCTCAGTTTCTTCCATTACTAATTAAACTTTTTGACTAGATCGAATAGTGAGTCCGTTTCTTTTTGCTTCCCACTGTTGAATTGTTGGTCAAGGTAAGCGAGTTTGATTGAACGATTTTTTTACGACTTACCAACCCTTAGTGGATTATTTAAAACCGAAACATCCTCTGATTGTAGGAATAATTCTTTTTTGCCATTGCATATTTCATTAACAATTTTTTGAGAATAACAATGATTTTTCTAAAAGTAACTCACGGGCTTACGGCCATATCACCTTGAAGCACCGGTTCCCGTATAATCACTGAAGTTAAGCAAAATTGGGCTTGGTCAGTACCTAGGTGGGTGACTGCTTAGAGTTACCGGATGCTGTATACTTGGATGTGTGGGTGGTGCAATGGTTGACTAGGAATTGTTAGTTGGAGAATCGAGTTCCAATTCCCGTTGGGTTAGTTATATTCATTTACGCGCAAATACCCTTGGGAAATGTATGAAACCACCTTTCCCCCAGCTATGGGTTAATTAGTAAGAGGTATCATTATTATCTAAATAAAAAAAATGCTTCTGAATTGTTTAAGATAAGGAATTTATTAAGAGTAGTTTTGCTATTAAATATTTCTCTAATGTAGGTAGCTCTATTGATTCGCTAAATAATTAGTATACCTTGATGCAAATAATTCCCCAAGCTGAATAAAAAGTCTTATCGTCAAAATCTTTGTGTTATTTTTAAAAGGAAAGACAAAAGGAGTCTTTTTTATAAAATTATATTTTTGTATTCTTTTTTGAACGTTCGAAATTTTGGTTAAAAATATTTTTTCTTCATCAGCGATTAGATAAACAAAATTTTAACGTTTTTTTTTTGTTTTTTTTTCGGCGAAAACACATTGGTTTGGAAATTCTTGCAAAAATCAAATAATTATCTGATTTTAACTAAACTTTCAGAAATTATTCATAAATTAATGAAATTATTTTAGAAAGATTTTCTTAAGAAAATCTTGGTAAATATATTGGGTTTTTTTTTTTGTTTTTTTGGGGTTTTTTTTTTCAGCTGTTACCCACTACTTATTTAATTCTATGAAATTTCGAGAAATTCAATTTTGTCCCGCTTAACGTTTATATTAGTTAAAAGCAGAACTCCTTGGAAAATTTAAATCATTTTATTTTGTAAACCCCCAGTTACTGAAAATCTGCCCTGACTCGTAAAATAAAAATGCAATAAAACTGATACATTATCTAATTAGAAAAGCTTTTAACTGCTTATATGAAAATTATATATTATGGACACTGTTGTCTTAAAAAAATTAATTTTTGATAAATAATGAATTTTTACAAGAACTGTTTTACTTTTTTTTAAAAATTAATTAGATTAATTTATAAAATTTTAAATCTTAAAATTCTGTCTTACAGAAGTTAGTTGATATTGTTATTAAGTATAAACTATATTTACTAAACGTAAATCGAAAAGCTTATAAGTTAGCGACCCCCAATATTTTAAAAAGAATTAAAAAAATTTTTTTGTATTTGTACAAACATGCTGATTTTTGTAAGTACGGACGTTCATACACGACATTATCAGAAAATAAGAGCGATAACTGTAGTAAGTTTAAAGTCCAAGCACCTAAAATTCAATAAAACTTTAGATTATGGAAAATATTTTTTATGGTGGATATATGTGTAGAGGACCGTGGCTGTGATGTTGTTGATAGAAGTAGAAGAACACATGTGGGGTTAAGATGTTCCTGCTAGCCGGTCCAACTACATGAGAAAGTTGGACTTTAATTAAGTCCAAAGAAGGCAAAGAAAAACAACACAAGACCGATAAATATATGTATACAAATATATATATTAATAACAAGTTACATTGACAGTTACAATGAACAGAGTGTGTGTGGGAATATTACATGTGTGTGTGTGTGTGTGGTGAGTGTTCATACGTACGTGTATTGTGCTTAGCGTGTTCCCAGCATTTGGGAAACGCTTTCTCTGTGAGCGTTCACATCTGCGAGAATGGTAAGGCTGAAAAGCCTGAGGAAAAAGAGAGGAAGAGGCGAAGGGTCAGCGACTATTTATAGCCAGGGAAAAAGAGACCCCTGGTGAAAGGGTTAACGAACTAAAGGAGGAGTTAACTCCGACATATCTGTAAAAATTACTTGAATATAAAGTGATCGCGTTTTTTATATAAATATCCAGTAATCGTAAAAAATTTACGAAAAATATTCTATATCATCTAATGTTTTATTGAACTTTAGGTACTTTGATTCTAAATTTTCGACAGTTATCGCTCTTATTTTCTGTCAACACATTAAATATGTTTATACCGCCGTATTAAAAAATGCATTTTTGCGATATTTTAAGCTAAAAGTAAGTAATATTTGTTTCAAATCAAATTATTTGAGAAATACCGATTTAAAGTTTAATTAAAGTTTCTAAAGAGTATACTTTATTTTTGAACGATTTTTTTTTAATAAGAGAGAATTGCATCATGATGACGGATGGCTAAAAAATGGTGTTAAAATCAGCTACTTTAGCAATTTCAAAACGAAAACTCTTTCCAGACAATTGAAATCAGTTTCGAAATAAAGCAAAGTATTTTGCTTATTAGAAATATTAAATTTAATCTATTAGCTTGAAATTAAAATTAAAATAAAAGCTTCCGGAAATTTTTCATTTTTAAAAATTCATTTTAAAAACCGTAAGAATCTTATTTGTGTGGAGGTACCTATAAATCTAAAGTTATAATGTCGGCAAATTACTTATATTTATTCCAACGTTCTCACATGATCACCAAAGTTAAGCAACGTCGAGCCTGGTCTGCACCTAGATGGGTGATCGTTTGGGAATACCAGCTGCTGTAAACTTGGATGTGCTTGGTGGGGATGAGGAGTAATGGATAACGGGTCGGAATTGGAAATCGGAGGGTCAAGTTCTCATTAGAGTCAAGTTTCATTATAATTACTTACGTGTATATACCCTTGGGAAATGTAAGAATCAACCTATCCTTCCCTAACAAGGGATTAATAAATAGGACTGTATCAGTAATTCATTATTCAAAAAAAAAAAAAAAAAAAAAATTACGATCTAAAAATATTTTCTGGTTTTTAAATAGGTTGAGGAGCCGTAAAAAACAAAATCCATCTTAATTCTTTCGATGCTGAATGAAGACAACGAACCAGAGTTTTCTTTCTGCAGAAAGGATGGTTTGACTCAAAGTTTAAATATAATCCTATGTGTGTATTTTCTTTCCTTACCTACCAGTCTATTATATCGTTCTTTTGTGTGGTTGACCAAGACGTCTAGAAAAGCGAGTTTGTCAATAAATTCTTTCTCCATTGTGAACTATATGGTCGGTAAAAATGAGTTAAATTGATCCGATAATATCTGTACTGTCCCTTTAACTTCAAATCTTTTTTTTTTTTTTTTACCTGGTATCCATATCTTACCAGAACAGGCCATATCCACTAACAAATAAAGTTTGAAGTAATAAAAAATATGTCGGATACAACAAAACATCTTCAATAAACTTTCCACTAAGTTATTAATATGCGATTTTAGATCATTTTTCAGTTAATAATAGATTGATAAGAACTTCTCAAAGTTAAATCACAAAGAATGTATTTGTTGTTTTAAGAATGAATTGCGAATCTTAAATATATTTAATGATTTATGTTAAGTGTTTCTTCCAAATATATTTGTAGGCGCATTTTACAGTTTATGTGATGTAATATTTTGTACTATCTATAAGGATTGGTCGGATTTCTTTTTATTTACGTTACTTGGTGATATTCAACTTAATCTATTTATCTAAAAATAACTATTAATAGATATTTATATCTATTATAACATTATATATATATATATATATATATATATACACACACACACAAATATATACATATATATACACGCACAGACATAAATATATCCACATATCTGTACACATACACATATATATTTATAAACACACACACACATATATATATATATACAACAGATTAGTAGAGCTATTATCGGATAAATGGATATTTCAATTATATATTTAAATAATAGGTTATCAGAAAATTAGATTAATAAACATTTATATTATAACATTTACACAGACACATATGTATACATATATACAAAAGATTAATATCAGATAAAGTGATATCTATTATAGTATATATATATATATATATATATATACACACACACACACACATATATACTAGATTAGAGCTATTATTTCAATTAAAACAAATATATATTTAAATAATAGTTTATCAGAAAATTAGATTAGTAAACATATCTATTATAACACTTACAAGAACACACACACACACATATATATATATATACTATAGATTAATATCAGATAAATAAAGTGATATCTAATATAGTATTTACATATATGTGTGTGTATATATATATATATATATATATATATATATATATATATATGTATATATATATATATATATATGTGTGTGTGTAAACTATATAATAGATATAAATATTGATAAATATTAATTGATATCTTTTATGTATATTATCATCTGATAAACAGATTAATATCTATTATAGCGTGTATATACATATATGTATATTAATAATAATAAATGTACATTTATTTTCTTACCGGTAGCACTACTCTGAGTTTTATGCTCAGGTGCTGACTGAAAATTGACCGTCGCTTATATATATATATATATATATATATATATATATATATATATATATATGTACACATACGTAAATGTTTGAATTTGAATGCAAACAAATTATACATACAAATCGTTGAAATAAACGCTTAAAGCGTCAAATCCATTTCTCATTTTTTTTAAAAACGTCTGCAACAATTTTCTATATACATATATAAAGTGCATTTTCTATCCTGGTATTTAAAATTACTTGTGTATAGATGCATATAACGCTTTTCATATACGACACTCGTCGACGAACAAATAATATTAGCATTAAAATGTAGAAAAAAAAATAACTGAAGCCACCACCCTGATGCAAAGCAAAATGAACACACCATCAACTGACTCTATCGTAACCAGATGAACCCTAATTATAAATGGGATGAAAAAGCAATTAAAAACATAATTCATTGATCCCGACAAACATCTAAGATTTAGGTAAAAAAAGTTAAAAAAAAAAAAAAAATCTAATCATTACCAACAACACATGTCTTCAAACAGCTACCGTATAGGTCAGGAGTTTTCAACCGGGGTCCACATGGGCCCTAGGGTTTCCATGTAATATTTCTAGGGGTCCGCACGCAAAATATAACAAATTGGAGGTCTACAAGTATATTTTGGTGGTCCATGAAGAAAACCAACACAGAATGGTTTTTATTATTAAAGATTAAATTTCTACTGTAATTTACACTATAT